TTCTAGACAATAAAGAAAGTCCTTGTCCCGGAGTTTAAGGTCAAACAGTAAACGGGTCTTTGATACGCCCAAGGAAAATTTCAATCAGAGCCCTTTGTAATAACATTCATTGTACTATTTTCCTCTCTCTCTCTCTCTCTCTCTCTGTCCCCTCTCACTCTCTCTACAGTATAATTCCCCTGGTTTTGCGTCTATAAATATGGACAGGGAAGATGTATAATTTCTAATGAGAAAATATATCCCTTTGGATTGAAAAGCAGGGGCTGGTCCACGAGCTGCTGTTTGTTAGGAGGAGAGATGATACCTCAGGCTGTTTTGGCAGAGAGAGGAGGAGGTGCTGGTAGGTGGTGGTAAGAAGAGTCTGGCTAGGTCATTGCACATTTACAAATTAGCATTTCAATCATGCAGGTACATGCCCAGCCGAGCAGAAAATATACATGTTTTTCTAATACAAGGCGCAATAAGATAAACAAAACACTGGCCGTGTCAGTGGAATTAGCATTTCAAAGCTAACTGTCACTGTGTATTCTGCACGTTGCTTTTTTTGGGATTCATAACTAAAAACAAGACCCTTCTTCCACTCTCCACTTCCGTTCACTTTTAACTCACAAACTCGTAGCGTTGTGTAATAACGGCTATTAGGAGATGAATACAAGATCTGGATTGTGGTGTTTATTTGGTTGATGTGATGTGACGTAGGAATAACTTGCATGCTCTCTATGATGGGCATTCTAATAAGCCTGGGCAAACACCCTTTGTCTCCCTTCTCCTGTTTTCTCTCTGTCTCTGGGGCATTCATATTAAAAAGGACTAAGCTTCAGAAACGCAGAGCTTGTGCAGTTGCTCAGTCCGCTCCCTGCCTTACCTGCGACTGTCGGCATCGCAGTGTGTAAATGAGAATCTCCACACACGCCCCTGTTTGACCCTCCGCGTTATATCTTCATGTTCTTGACTATTTTTAGAGTTCTTGTTTATTATACAGCGCTGTTTCAGATGAAATGCATGCATGCATGCATATTTATTCCTGGTAGGTCTGCCTCTTTGTGTGTGTGTGTGTGGTGGGGATCCAATAGGCTTGTGACATACACACATATATATATATATATATATATATACTCCTCTTCTTCTTCCTTCTGTCTTTTGGGTACAATTTCCAGCTCCCTCCTGTAGGACCTATTTTCTGTGACAAAAAACGGAGGTGTTTATATACTCCGTTTTACATACAGAGCGCACAGCTCTGGCGCAGCGCCAGCGCTCTCCAGGCACCTCGGCGCTCGGTCCCTGTGTGGCACAGCCACTGAAGACTCGGTGACAAATGGCAATTATATTTGTGTGTTCTTCATGAATCCATCAAACACTGGCCTTTTAAAAATGCTCCCCAGATATTTGAGGCTGTCAGCTACTAGTAGCTGGGACCAAATTGGGATGCTGCTTAGACAGTCAAGAACCACTCACCCCCTAGTTTCCCCTGTGATGTGTGTGACAGTGTGTGTAGGGGAATACCATGTTTTATTCAACTACAAATGTACACTCTCAACAGTTGTTGATGTGCTAGAAATTGGGCGGTTACAAGTCCAATTTGATGTGTGTGTGCGTGTGTGTGTGTCCACTTCCTCCTCCAGAACATGGTGTTTTAATGCAACCAGTCAGGTTGCGTGCTGTCGGTTATCTCAGGACACCTACCTATCTCGACGAGCTTGTGGCAAATGCACAACTGCGTATGATTTTTTTTAAAAGTCGCTGGGAGTTGTTCATATCAAATTTTGATGCCGTTTGTGGTTCCTGTTGTGTTATGCAGTCGGGACAATGCAGCAGTAGTGTCTGCGTTGCTCCTTGAACATTTATCAACATATTTGACATGTCCAATTTTGCCCAAATGATGGCTGTTCGATCTTCTTCCAAGTGGACTTGATGAATTTTCCTGAATCTCTATTGTCTGTAGGTTTACAGTACACAACAGCCAAGTGCTAATTAACATATGCTGCACACCTTTTTTTCTCTCACTGCACTGCAGGTACAGTGAAAGTTTCTGATGCGCCAACTCACCAACGTAGCACAAATCCAACAGGATTTCCTGTACTTCTGCCTTCTCTCATTACGTCTTCATTTGTCTCACGGTGACTGTACAAGTCTGTCATTGCCATCTTTTTGACAGTATCGTCATTATCATGATCAATGATTATGAATATTACTCCATTGTGTCCATTCATCTCAGTCACAGGCGCTCATCAGGATAAAAATAAAGACCTGCCTGTGTTAAGGCTATCCAGGAACGTGCCACTGAGGCACACTTCTCTGCAGACTTTGAACCACTTTTTAGGGCTTTGCAGTGTGTCAGTAACCTGAGTCGCCGCTTATGTACTCTGGTTTTTAATGTGGTGGTTTCTTAATAACTATTTATACTTTGGTAAATTGAAAGCTTGACTTCCTCAAAAGGAAAGGTAATTATGCCTCCTAGTCTACTTTGGCCTTTTTGTGCATGAACGTGTGTTTATGTGGGTTTGAGTTTAGCCAAAATGGGAAAAACTACTGTGTTATTATGCGAGGTACTATGGGTGATTGATTTGTTAAGTCATCCTCTAGGCAGGAGGTTTGCTGTTGTGTTGACGTGATACTCCAGAAACGGGTGAATTATTATTGCTGTGCCTCTTTAGCTGTGATTTGTGCTGTTTGTGTCTGTGTGTGGTTAATCATTAGCTATAGAGAGGGATTCCCCCCCTTCAGTTCCAGTAATGTCAGCGAGTGCGTTTCTGTGTTTACACATTGAAATATGTGGCTACATCTGACGGATGAAATTCCGCGAGAAAACGGCAGCAGTGTGATTTAGAAGAGTCAGCTTTCTGATTTTCATTTCGGGATTCTGCCAATTTGAAAACGTGACAAACCTTTGCGTCAGTGGAATCTAGCTGAATTGATCGAAGTTGCGGCTAAGTTTGTTTCTCGAAATGGGGTCACAGCTTGCTGAATAGCTAACTTTTGTTTTGTGATTCTTGATAAGAGAGCGAGCTGACTCAAGAAAAAACTAAAATGGTACAACTGGTTTGTGCACCCTGAAGTAGCAGAACCAGATTACTATAATGTGATTACACCGGATCCATTTGAAAGTAAGCATCTTTGGCCAACCCAAGTAAGGCCCACTGTGTTGATATGTAGAAAACCCTACTGTGTGTGTGTGTGCGCTCCTAGCTTCCTATATATCAACGGTTTGCCAAGCATTAAAGTAAAAGCCTGGTGGAAAAAAAATTGCATGTATTAAAAAGGGGCGAAAAACGTGGCAAGCTGTCAGAGGTAAAACTGAAGAACGACAACAGATGTAGCATACTCCGCGTCTCCTTGTTAGCGAGCTTTAGTCTCGCCCCACATTGTCATGGGCAGACTGCAAGGCGTTTGTCTTTTGGAGAAGAAAAATCCATCAACCTGGTCTTAAACCACTGCATAATGAATTCTATCGTGCGCTACCCAGTTGTCTAATTCAAATTGCATGGAATCCTGATCCCTAAAGTCTATATTTGTTTATCGAGGCAGCATGGAGAAGCCTGAATGCGGAGAAGGCGAAAACTCAGTGTGTGTATTTAATTGCTTTGTTTTACATCCACATCCGCGTCCGGCCTCTCCCAGGGTGATGTGTTGTTAAAAAGGCGTGAGGCCCGATTCCCACACTCTCTCTCTCTCTCCCTCTTGTTAACCGTAATTGCACTTGTTGGTGAGCTGACAGAAAGAAAACAGAGATGGAAAGAAATTACCAGCATCGTATTAACTTCACTGTCGGTTTGCCTCCCCTTTGGAAAATGTGTTGATTTTTTTGTTTTTGTTTTGGACAGCCGCAAAGCACTTAAACTAGATTCAGCTCGTGCTCCACTGCTGTGGAGTAAGGTGGTGAAGATACCATACATTCAATGTATGTACAGAAAGTATAGAATAGGAAAAGAAAAGCTGAATACGTATACGGTTCACACAGACAGACTTTAAAAAGAGATGAATAATTCACAAAATCTCAAGTGAACCGTGCACTTGCGGCGCGTGCACATGCACAGCGGCTCTGAAATGGAGGGAAGGTAATGTAGGAGTAACTCCCAGTAGAGCTGAATGTGCAGGTGTTCCTCTCAGTAAAATGCCACCTCCTTTGCTCACTCACATCCTTCGCCTTCTTTCTTATCAGACAGGTCGCTGTCTCCTGACTTTCTGTTGCTGTCACACAGACACTTAGAAAGGCCATCTCTGAGCTTTTCAGAGGAAAGGAGATCATTACTGTTGCAGACAGCAGCTTTTTTTTTTTTTTGTATATGCACAGTATCACAGGCTCTTGTTCTCTTTTTTTTTTACCGCATTAATCTCCCTTCCCCGCACACTGTCGTAACTCACCTGGGTACCGCTCCCACAAATGTCTTGTCTGCCTGCAGCGGTGGCTTTTCGTGAACCTGTCACATATGAGGTTCCTATATCTCTCCGCTCCTTTCTGTCATTCCGGGTTGAAATGTTTGCCATGTGATCGATATGATCGTGTTAGGGAAACGTTGGCAAGATTTGCTGAGAATTATTTAGGTGCGTCTCCATGTTCTGTTTGAAAGAGCTGAACATCACAGGTGCAGAGAGTGCAGACAAAGTTCTCTTCAGTTAAAATAAAGTAAAGGGGTTATCACGCTCGTACTCCCATACGGGTACAAGGAATCCACAACTCTTTAGTTTTCCATAAAAATAGACATTATATTTAGTAAGTTATTAAAGTAAACCGCTAGTTCCTTTTGATGCTTGTGTATTTTAGTGTTTTGTCCTCCACATTTGCATCAAAAAGCATGAATAAACAAGCAGTCTTCTGCTTTGTTTCTATATTCAGTTATATTAGATTGTCTTGTATTAAGACCCTGAGCTTGCAGATGTTCAGTAGTCAGCTGGAACATGCAAGAAATTGAATCATTTAACTGTCCTTGAATACTGCAACTAGACAACCAGCTCTTTACTAAACATGAGTAAACATGATTTTCTTTTCTTCACGTCTCCAGCTCAACCCCAGTCTCAGACGGTGCCCTCGGAGCCAGCAGAGGGAGACGCTGGCAAGGACCAAAATGTCTTTCGCCACAACAGCACTGGCACGCCCGCGCTGAGTAACGGCAACGGCATCCACCCTGGCATCGGCAGGGCCAGGTCCACGCGTACATGCTCCTGCGGTGGCAACATCAGTGCGGGCGCCGCCACGGGTGGATCCGGCCCTGGCACGAGATCAGCGGCGGCCTTGACGACGACGACGGAGCAGCCCAGGAAGCAGCCGTCCATGCCTGTGTCGCAGAGGGTGCAGACGAAATTGAGGTCCAGCTTGTCAGTCAACAGTGACGGCAGCAGACACAGTAAAGGCAGTTCCACGGGGTCTCAGAAACCTCCTTTACCAGAGGGTGAGTGTCCACACAAAGGGCAACGACAACGCAGAGGAAAAGAGAGCACAGACGCATTGATACTATCCTTTCAAACACTTATTTGCTTGCTTGCTTCAATTTCTGCATCACATCTTCTGTTGGTTAAACATCCATTTCATCGGCCGCAGGGATGTCTCAAGAATCGAGTGCTCCAGTCATAAATACACCAACATTCATTTGTAAGAGTGGCTTTTAACAATGTAATGGGATGCGAAACAGATGTAATCCTGGTCAGTCATGAGCCACAGAACAGCGCCTCAACCATTGTTAATAAATACAACGCATTCCAACAAAGTAATCCATCAAATCAGCTTCAGGATATTCTCTTAGCTACTGATTGAGTGAAAATAAATGGTTTATTAATAACCGCCGATGCAAAAGTAGCAGACAGACGTAAAGCATGTCGTAAACACAGACTTTCAGGAAGTGAAAAGGTTCTCAGCTCGATGTTTTTATGGTTAGTTTGATGCTCGGGTACAGATTTATTTCTCAATTACTTTGATTCTGATGTTCAGTTGGATTTCAGCTTTTCCTGCTCAAAGCTATTGTTATGATTTCAGCTTTTTAAAATGTATTTATCGGTCAGCCTCCAATTACTTTTGTTCAAATTGCGCACCTGATACATCGGCGTTTAAAAATACACAATTGCACTCCATTAAAACACATAAAACTATTGATGATTTATCATGAAATATAACTTACAAAAATACAGCAAGCTTTTAGTCTTTTAAAATTCTGTACTGTGCAGTTGTATATGTACAAAAATCTAAATATCATGTCAGGCAAAAACCTTATGAAGTCATCGCTACCTGCTGTCGCACAGTGAAATGATATACCATCAAACCAACACCATCACAGTGATTTCTCTGTTGAAGGGGCTATTCTTTGTTGGAGGCTCTGCTGAAATAAGATATAGATAATAAATCCTTACCTTCTCTCACCTTTTAATGATGCGCGGTGCATGACCTCTCATATTTATCACTCCCGTCAAGCAAATGACATCTTATCCCGCTCCTGTTGCTTTTATTTTCTTTAACAACAAGTCAGAGGGTCCGTTTGCCATGCAGGGAAGCCGTCACTTTGTCAGGTGCAAGGCCGAGGTGAGTCCAGTAATGAAGGCGGTTGGCTGGTCCTTTTCCATAGGGGAGATAGGTGTGACCGTCTAACGAGGCCTGAGAGCACAGGGTGCCTATTAAAAGTCGTGACCAGCCTTCTCCGGGCCCCTCACGGCCCCTCACACCTCTCTGGGCCCTTTCTGGCTTCTCCCTCCATCCCGTCAGCACCACCCTGGCCCTCATTAACGTCGCATCCCTCCTCCACCTATTGTACTCTGCTGCTGCGCGTGTGTTTGTGGACATGCATGTGTTCCCTCTGTGTTCTGAAGCATAGACAGAATGAGGGTTTAGGCATGTTTCTTTAAAGCAGAGGGGCAAGTCCTCTCTATTCATCTAACCCAAGAACCTTTGCTGTTTTGCCTTTTTATGGGCTTCTACTCCAAGGTGAAGATGGAAAATAATGTGATGTTATGCGTTATTAAAGGATCCACAATGGTCAGGTTGAGAATACAAGTTTAATTGAAGGAGAAAAGTGGGCAGTCAGATCTTTATTTGATGATGCCTGACTTGAAATATGCAACAGATCAACTTGCGGGCGAACCAAACAAGAAGGCACACATCCATAACAGTAAAGGTGGGATGCATCCACCAGAGAGATTCCTGACGTTCCAGTCATGTTTTCAACATCTTAATTGGTAAAGAACAGAAGAGAAAAGGGTTCAAAAAAATAAATCTGGCAACAGCAGCTCAACAAGTCAGTCTCATTATGGCTCTTGTGTTGCTTATTTGCAGATGAGAGCTCTCAGAATCAATATGTTCTCTCTCGACTATTTATTTCCCCCCGGAAAACAGCCAAGCTGTGGTGTTTGAATGTTTACATGGATTAACATAATCTGTTTGCCTGTGAAATTAGCCTCCTAAACAGCCCCCTGAACACAGGAAATAAAAAGGCGTAAGCTAGCAGGAGCTAGCTCTGGGGATTCTGCTGCTCTCTGTGTTTCTTGGCACACGCCGTTGGCACCGTAGCCAATCGTGCGATAACGCCACAGCTTCTGAGGAGTCATTTAACACGCTGCTTTTGTTCAGCAGGGTGGGTTGCCTCAACTCTTGTCATCCAGTTTGTGTTTTTGTTAATTGTGTGGAATCAGTTAAGGCCTCCAAGCTGCTCATTTAGAGATATAGGGCCAAGGCCGCGAGCGTAGTCCCCTTGATGTCTGTGTGTGTGTGTGTTGTGTAAGCACTAGTCCTCTAGCTTCGCCTTTTCCCCTCAGTCATGCATTATAAACAGGCTTGCTTTAAAGTGTATGTTGTGGACCTCCTCTATCCAGCCCACATCCTCTGTCCTCTTTACCCGTGTGCGCCCTATGTGCATTTCCATGGCCACCAAGGCTTTGTCTGATCTCTCTCTCTCTCTCTCTCTCTCTCTCTCTCTCTCTCCCCATCTTTGTCCGTCTGTCCATCTAGCCCTCTCTCTCCCTCTTTGTAAGTTTGAATGTTTTGCACAGCTTGCCGCTCTGAGGCCCATCCAGCTTGTTTTTTGTCATGCCGCTCCCTTTTTCGTTTTTTTTTTTTGATGTGAGCTTTCCAGATGTCTCGAACTATTTCCTCAGAGGCGCCGGACGCTGTTTTTCGGCCCCTGCAAACTCTGGGCTTCATCGCCGCTCACTGACATTAAACAGGAGCGGTGTCAGTGCGTGCTGTTCCGTCTGTCTGTTGGTTGGTTTCACCCAGTGTCTCTGTCTCCCTGTCCGTCTGTCTTTCTCTGTTTTCGGGGAGATGTGCCTCGCGTCCAGCTCTCTTGTGTACAGTATAAGACCCCCCCCCTTCCTCTTTCCCCTCCTTCTTACTCGCCTCTCTAAGATCCAGACTAATCGCTGGTGTTGAATTATACATCCAAGTGAATAGCTGAGATGGCCGGCCGCTGCTTAATGCCTATGTGCTGTGTTTATACTGTATTCACAGGCTGTTACATTCTCAAGGCTGCCATGGCTATACCCTCTGGGTCCTTCAAAGTTTGTTAGGCTGAACTTTGAGGTTTTCTTCATGGAGCTTTGGCCCGGGCAGCGTTTATTTGTTCTCAGTGGCATTCTGTAACACTCAGATGGCAGAACACTGCAGCGGATGCCAGTATAGGAGGCAGTATCAGTTTTGTTATTGCCACCATGAAACAAATCCACGATCTGCCCGGAAGCGATCTACTTGCATGTCCGCACCAGATGTTCGGAAGTGATTTTATCCTCATGCATCTTCCATCACTGCCAGTGTTATGGCCTCAGATAAGGATAATAAGATGCATTCAAACTTCAGGCACCCTTACACACACACACACACACACACACACACACACGCACGTACGCACGTACGCACTTGCTCGTTTCATGTTCCCTTCGCTATCTTGTTTGTATCACAGGCAGCTAGTGCTTCTGGTCAGCTCCGCAGCCCTGAGCGCCGCAAAAAATAGAGTAAAAAAAAGAAAAATTCCCCTCTACTTTGATTAATCAAACATGAGCATCCAGCGGTCCTCAGCTTGCCTTCCCATGCCGTCCTCCACACTCTCCTCCTTTCGCTCTCCCTCTAACCCAATCAGTAACAGCCTCTTCTGACAGCTCTAGATGGGCTGATGAAAGTTATGCAAATGTGCCCTGTTTGTAATGCTATTTTTCTGCATCCATCCACATCATGTCTTTTTAACACTCCAAAGCAGTGGCACTGCACTGGCCCCTGGTTCAAAAAAAGGAAGACAGCTGCAAGGAGTATATGCCAGGCACTTACCGAATGATTTACTGACTTAGATCCAACTGCAGAAGTTCTGGTGTGCAGTATGGCAACATCAATTGTGATGTAATCTGTGGGCTACGCATACACAATCCTTGTTCTCTATTTAATCTCACCTTGTGTGTTATGTCTCACATTTCACTTAAAGAGTTTTATTACAATTAAAAAAAATAACTGATGAATTCAGATTGAGTTCCTTTCTTGGAAAATGAAAATAGGTAAATTGATTTGATTACAATACTGCACATAACTATATTGAAGAGAAATAACATCTTTTTTTTTTTTTTTTTCCGACTGAAAGAACTCTGGAAGTAAACTCTTTGGCTCTGCATCCTGCACTGGCATTACTAAATACACTGTGTCACTGGAAGCAAAACATTTCATTTGTTCTTTTTCATTACCTATTCAAGACAGAAGCATTTTAATGAAACTAATTCAGCCGTTCAGAAACAGATTTGCGATGGTTAATGGGCATATTGGTAATTTAAAGGGGAACCCTTTATTGCTGCTCAACAACAAGCTGAAACTTGCCACCAGCGATTTAAAGATGGTCTCTGCAAGGAGGTTAAATGTTAATCAGAGGGTGTGAGCATTGCCCGCATTAATCCACCTATTTACCAGGAGGGACTCTTGGACTTCAGTAATCATCCTTGTGTGATCAACCGAGCCGTTTGCATGATAATGACACAATTATTTAACAGTCCGTTAATCAAAACTGCAGGGAAGGAATTAATTTCTTTGAATTTCTCTTATTTCTTTCAGCCCCCCCCCCTCTGCCGCCTAGTTAGTCCTCACCCTTTTACTGCATACACCTACTCCGTTCCACCTGTCAGCCTGCCGAGCTTGCAACTCCTCATTCAGTCTCTCCGCTCAGCGCTGCGTACTGAGAGCTTACATTTTGATTTACTACTGATGCATGTTCTAATTTGGCATATCTGTGTGTTTCCTGTTTTATTAATTTATTTTATTCATGTGTTTATTGTACTTTACAACTCGTCACTCTGGCTGATTTGACGTTGACACAGACTGCTGCGTCCACTGCATCTTGGCCTGCCTGTTCTGCGAGTTCCTGACACTTTGCAACATGGTGGCCACGCAGGCCTCATGCGGCGCGTGCACGTCGGAGGCCTGCTGCTGCTGCTGCTGCGCCGACGACCTGGGCGACGACTGCAACAGCCCCTGTGACATGGGCTGTGGCATCATGGACGCCTGCTGCGAGTCTTCAGATTGCCTGGAGTTCTGTATGGAGTGCTGCGGCATCTGCTTCCCCACATAGAGAGGCCTGCGCTGGTGTCTCTGCGGGGATAACTGGACCCAGAACGGCAAAATGGAGGGAAACTGCTGCTGCTGTCACTTTGAATTCAGCAACAGACAGAGGGGATTTGTGTGTGTGTGTGTGATGGTTGACATATATGTTTGTGAATGTCCTTTTTTTAATGTGTGATGACTGTTCAGTGTGTGTGCAGGAGAAGGTGTGGCTGAGTAAAGCATGGTTTGAAAGATGTATTTTGACACTGGGCTTCTCCATCAAAAACAGCTCAGCAGGAGCTCGAAGTAACTCCAGATATATGAACATGACGGTTACATCGTCAGTGTGTAGTAAGTTGTTTCTTCTAACGGCACAATGAGTAGGATTTGTAGGTTGCACTTTGTCATCACAACAAAAAAAGTGTTGCCTCAGCGAGGGTTCCGGTGGTCCCCAAGTGGGTGAAAAACCAACGGCAGATAAACTTTTGTTTTGCCTTGCTATACATGCGTTTTTTTTCAGGGATAAATCCGCCATTTCCTTACCTTCTTTCTTGGCTGCATGCGTGCGAACTGACACCCGGTCACTACGTTTTTACGAGGGTTGACGCCCCAAACACAGCAAAATAAGGCAGAGGGCAGGGTCTCTGCAGATACAGACACTACCAACACACGTCTAGATGGTCATAAGTGATGATTGAGAGGGATTACTTTTGTATGAGTCTATACATTTTTTTTTTTTAAGGAAATCCTGCTTGTTGTGCTTTTTAAAGCTACTAAAAGGAACTGGAACTGATTTTGACGGTCCCTGTGGACTAAAGTCATAGCGTTTTCTAGCTCTATAGCTCTTATTTTATTGCAGTAAGATCTGATAGTCTGCGGTAGCGAAGCCAGATCTTGAGTCTGTCAGCGGCGGGTCGGTCGCTGACAAAGGCCCCGCTGGAGTCTGAGCTGAAGGACCTTCCGGTGATTCTGCATGATGTCATCCGATTTCATGCGGAAACGGACCCAATAACTCTATAGAAATAGACAATCTTCTCACTGATGGTCTCGTTTACTTATGTAGGTCATATAGAGGTATCAGTATTAAATTGAGACTGTTTCATACAGTCACTTTAGGTGTTCTCTCCTTTGCGTGAGACGTATTATCACAGACTGTCTTAAAGATCAGGAATGCTGTCTAATTGTATCTTATCTTTTTAGTCATTTTGATGAAAAACTAAACGATTTATTTACTCTGATTTTATTTTTCAATACATGTTTTTTTATGCTCAAAATCTGAGGTTACAGTCTTTGTACTGTACAACACTGTAAAAGGTTTATGGGACACTTCATACATTCTTAGTTGCATACTGTGGTTTTGCAACACAGACTCTCATATACAGTTATCTACTGTAGCGCTGTAGAACAGTTGAAACTGGTGAATTATCAAAGGTGAAATGCATCACAAATGCTACTTTCTAAAACCAAAAGGAACGAACGTGCCTTATTTAGGTTGTTTTTTTACTTTTCTATTTCAAGCATTCCTTTTTAATTGAAGTTGTTACAGGAAAAAAAAATGCACACAATTGCTGAAATCAATGAAAACATCTTTTATCAACACATCTCACATCTCTCCTGATTTGGCAGTGTTTGAAGCTTTGGGATTACTGGAAATACAGCGAAGATACTCAAAGAGAAATAACATCTCACAGCAGCGTAAAGATAAACAATGTGTTTCTGTCTCTCTCTACGAGTCCTACTCTAATTTTAGCCATCAACAATTAGGCTTTTGTCAGCTGCGTATGGTACTTCTTTTCTGTGATGCTGTTTCACATACATACTGTGTAAATATGTTGAACTGCACTCCGTTCACGAGGGGGTTTGATATGGAATTAAAAAACGGTGACCCTCATGCCACATAAGCGGCTTTCGGGTATCAAGCCTAGTGACTCACAATACAAAAAAAAAGGAATCATGAACTGTCATGTTGAACTGGTAAACTATGAGTTTGTGGTGAATCACCAGTCGAGTCATTTTCTTGTCTTGGAGATCCGCTTTGATGTTTAAGTGATGATACTTAACGCTGGGCCTTCATTAGCACCGCTTGCTAACCGGTTACAAAAAGATGTCCCTTCCTAACGCCAACAAAGATAATGTGCTGTCATGTACGGATCGTCTTAATGGCGCACTGTTACCGTGTCTAAGGAGGGTGGATAGGCACCTCTGCAGCACATTCTGAGCAGAAAGTAAAACCTCATGTTTATGATTAACTCACGCCAAGAGTGTCAAAAAACATTATAGATAATGTGAAGAATTCATCTAAAAAAGAGAAATGTATACATTGCTATGTGGCTACAGTAGTTGTCTGATACTATACTATGTTGTATGTTTCTCTTCTTATTCTGTGCCGGACACTTGATCTGTCTCATTTTCATCTCGATTCGTTAACTTAGAGCTCACAGCTCATTTTTCTCAGTTTTGTACATTTATCTTCAATCTCAAAGAGAAAAGTTTCGAAAAAATAAAACGTTTGTTTGTTTTGCACATGCTCTTTTAGTCAATTCATTGTTTGTGTCTGTCGTCTTCCTCATTCCGTTCCAGTTGTCAGGATGGCAAACTCTTCTCAATCCAATCGAGCAGATAAAAGACACTGTTGTCTTTGTTTTCACTTGATGCTTGAGGCTCCGTCCACTGACTGACCAAACAGTGATTTCTACGGTTCAACACTTGTGTCAGGCATGCAGGGAGTTACGGTAACATCTGGAAATATTCTAGTAATTACATCGAATAGGGATCCAGCAATTAGGCAACTATTTTCATTGTTAAATAATCCTTTTAGCTAAGCGAACTAAGCGAAAATGCCAACAGTTTCTGGTTCCAGCTTCTCTAGTCTTGCGCTTCTTTGGTATATATATGAGGATGTAATGAATATCTTTGGGTTTTGAAACAAGACATTTAAATACTGTCCTTGGGCTGCGGGAAATTATAATGGGCATTTCTCACCATTTTCTGGCGGATTATAGACCGACCGGTTAGTCGATTAGTCAAGAGAAAATAGATTGAAAATGCAGTATTGTTTTTGTTGATGGTGAATGTAATTTAACAACACTTCCATACTGGAGCTGTCGCCATTTCCCGCAACTGTATTATTTGTTTCCTAAAAAACAGTTTTGCTGCTGTAGCTGTATCTCCGTACCTGCTTGCCATTGCTAAACCTCTACTATTATTGCAGCAACTGGTTGCAGACACTGCACCCTTGAATTATATCATAATGCCAAACTTGCATCTCTCTTATGGGGAGACTTGCATGCTCTGAACGCTGGGTTGTATTTACTTATTTCTCTTGTAAGTGAGGCCGCAGAAAGTGTGAGTTTTCATGATGGCCACATCTGTAACCTCTGCACTGTCCTCCTCCTCTGCTCCTTTATCTAGTAGAGAAGGCGCTGCTCACCTGGCAGCAGCGTTGGCGCTAACATGGAAACATGGCCAACAACACTCAATGAGTTCATCAGGGAGCAGAGACCTCCTGCTGGCTATAACAGCAGTCTGACCTTCAGCCGACGCCACCCCCTGTTAACCCCTCAATTAACCTCCACGTCAGCCCCCCTGCTGGGAGAGCAAGGAGGATGAGCCCCCCCCTTCCATTCTATCTTTATTTCCTTTTGTCATTTTCTGCCTGGATACACCCTGGCCCCGGGAAATTACCATCTTATTTCACTAATGCGTTAGGGAAAATATCACTGTCCAGAAAAAGTCTGTAATCACACAGTTGTACTTTTTTTCTTTCACTGTCTTGCGTGTTCACAGAGGAGGCGGAGGGTCGGAAATATTAAGAACTCCAGGTAGAGTGTGCAATGACCTTTTCACAAAGTTGTCCACCTTTCCCCTCCTCTAATCAATCCCCCTCTGATCGCTCACTGTGTGCTGGATTGTAATGTCACAATTAGGACGGCTCCATTGTTTCTGTTTGCCGTCTGGGGAAAAATTCAGCACTCCTCTGTTCTCAAGGTCATTTCTCTTGCAATATTAAATAAATTAGAGCGTGGCGGTGTGGCCACCTCCTCTGACTAGCTGCGTATTAATCCATCCATCCCCTCTTCCCTGCTCAATTGGGTGGGATGCAACTCTTTCGCTCAGAAAATGAAGGTCTGCAGCCCTCGGCCATGAGAACAAATTGCTGCTTTTGCTGTTGCTTTATGTAAAGACAAAAAGCAGATGGGTGAATAAATGGTGTTTCGTTTCCTTCATTTTTATATTGGAGGAAGATGATAACCATATTATAATAACGTATAATATGACTAATTAGACGGGACAGGGGGGGGGGGGTGGCGGTAACGTGCGACACTTCTCTTTATTCACCATCTGGTTTTTTTTCCAGATGGAACATCAATGCTTGTTTTTGTCAAATAGCAGAAAATGTAAATCCCCCCCCCACCAGTCTTCTATCAATCCATAAGATCCATAATATCCATCATTACCTGATGTGATTTGGATATATGAATAATATTGTGTTGTGAGTCATTAAAGATAATCATACTGATACGATCCCTTTCAGTGACTATTCTTTTAATACTGAGCACATGAGGAAATGACGTGCGTTATGGCATATGTCATAAGGAATTGTAATCACCATACTGTTTGTGATCGCTGCGTAGTAAAGCAGTGCATCTTGTAAATCATTGAGGCAGTAGAGCTTTTCTCAATCCATCCTTTTGCATTTATATTTGTAAAACCTAGAACCATGCCGTGGCCCTTTTTTTTTTTCGTTTGAGCACACTCCCAACACAGACATGTGCCGCTACCCCAACGCACTCGCCAAGTTTGCAAAGACTTGACCTCGCTGTTTAGACTTGTGGCACCACATTAAAATAAAATGAGACGATCTTTCAGAGGGCTGTGCAAAAAAAAAAAAAAAAAAAAAAGAAGAGGAGGAGAGTTCAAGTAATGTCACTTTCAATTAATCTCCCCAGGTAGTGGCCCCATTAGGCCTCTCACACGAGGGCCCGGTTTACAATGCAAATAGGGTCATTACCTGAGGACTCTAATTGACTTTGACAAGATGCCGAAGAAGTCTGCCTTCTTACACCACATGTTACTTGTTTACTTGTTATTTCCCCCTCACAAATCATTGACGTGGTTGCCAACAGGAATAGTGCACGAAGATTGCATTAGCAGTGAGTGAGAATGATTTTTTTGGGGGTTTATTTTCAGCCAATAGGAATTGCTTTTTGTATACTTTTTATCCAAAAAAGACCTCAAATTCAACATTCAGAAATTGCATCAGTCTCAGAACAGAGTCTCGGCAATGACATGTAAATGATTTCCAAGCGAAACATTTGTAGTCTTTGTTCCCCTCTCTTCTTAGAGTGACAATGTGTGATCGTACTCGCACCTTAAATATTTAAAGACCCCCTTTTGCTAAAGCTTTGCTGTGGTACATGGGCCTCTGACTGCTTCTAATCTCCTTGTTACCTGGAGGCGTCGCCGCGGCGGTGCAAAGATAACGTGGCAGTTAGCGAGATCACGAGGCTGGAGCTTGAAAAACAACCCCGTGGATGGGGCACGGTGAGGTTCAAAGTTTCTGCCACGCGTCGTGCCCCACGTGCAGACGGCGCTGACAACATCTGCCTGAGAGAACACAGGAATCAGACAGATATGAAAGGAGAGAAGGAGACGCTGAGATGTCTTCAAATCGTTTCCTTTCTTCCTTGTCGGGGCTGAAAAACAGCCCCTCCTTCCTCACATCCCTCCTGTTCAGATGTTGTGGCATCCTAAACTGTACGTGCAAGTGGAATATTTTTTGTTTGTGCTCAGGGAGGGTTTTTTCGCTTCACGGGTGCCTGCACAGGTTTTCCAGAGAAAATAACAGAAGCCGGGGTCTTGGACCTGTAAATAAGACATCAACTTAAAGTTGCACACTTTCAACTTTTCTATTTTCCTTCCTGCCCCTGCGTCTGAAAGGCAATAGAGCATGGGAGAGGCAAATTGAGAGGGACGTGCGGACCGGGGATGCCTGTTTATTTGCTTGTACACGCTCCTTGAGCTATAAATTAGATGTCAACCATTGTTACATGTCATTTGCTGATGTGGACGTGTTGCGGTCTCCCAAGCAGCACTTTTGATTGTTTGTTCTTAACATCACTTAAATGAACCCCGGTCTCCGCTAGCCTGCAGTCATCTGGATCTCGTGGATGATTGGCAGGTTGTTTGGGAGGCCTGCTTGTTCGTTTATAGTTTATCTGAGCGTTTGCAACCATGTACAGAGGAGGATATGGTCATGAGCAAATGCTTGATTTTTCTTTACAAAAAAACAAAAACACCCAGATGTGTGCTTTCAAAATAAAGACTTCTTTTACAATTTGGGTTTCAATCAATAGTTTTCTTTTGCAGTGTTCTTTGATTTTCCATTACAACTGAAACAGGTTGGTCTCACTCTCTTTTTTTCATATATTAAAAGGTTTATGTTCTTTTGAGTGACCTTTTTGTGTTTGAGATCATATTTATTTTTCACAGCTTCCACCAAAAAATGCTTTAAAGTGAGCATAAACATGAGCACGAAACCGAAAAACTTCCCTCACGGGGGTTTGAGAAAGGGATGTTTACAGAGCCGAGATGCGTGTTTGTGTGTTTATGTCTCCTCCTAACCCGACTCAACCAAGCCTCCCACCCAGACACACACACACACACTTATCGAGGGAGGGAGAGAGCATCTAGTAGCTTACCTCCCTCCATGCAGAAAGAAAACACGGATCAAGGTCTTAATAACACCAGCCATTGTGGCAAATATATAGGACTCAACTTTCCGCTTGAAGCAGCCTCTTCACATTGAGTTAACATGACTGACAGGCAAAGCCTCTCACACACATACATGCACACACACACACACACACACACACACACACACACACACACACACAAATGCTGGCTCTGATATGCTTTGTAACAACAGGCAAAAACACAAGATGAAACAAACATGTTCACACGAGTGTTTTTTCCATATTCTGCTCGGGCAAAGTCAAAGCTGATGTGTCTCCTTTTTTCCTTTGACAAGTAAATAAACAGTCTTAATTGTCTGTTAGATCTGTTAAAGTGTTTTCCTGCTGTCTCCGCTAAACAGTGACTCTCCTCAGCAGACAACAATAGAGCAAAGAGAACCCCCCCATACTACCAGATGCTTTGCCTCAAGGTGTTTATTTGCCTGTCAGGCGTCCTTAATTGTTTCATCTGCTACAAATAAACGCATCTCCTGTTGCGTCTTTGTTTACACGCCGCCCAGCAACAAATTGCCGTGGTGACAGTTTGTTTGTGACGATGTGTAGTGTGCAGCACAGATGATTTAAAAAAAAAAAAAAAAAAAAAAAAAGGTAGGCATTTCCAGGGTGTTTTGTACACACGCCGCAGGGAATTTGATATGCGGGCAAAGTTTACAGGTGTGCATCGGCAACACCTGCTCGCATTCCTCATCCGGAAGAGCACTTCATAAAGTGGAAATTAACATGTATGTGATACAGGGATGCATTGTCAGTGTAAATGCTTGCACTGTTTCGTGCATGCCATTGTCACGTATACATGTAGGCTTATTTTGTGTTTTCTAAAGGGTTGGTTCATTTAAATTACTTTTATTAAATATATAAATATTTTTTCACTTCCCTCGAGTGCTTTCTTCCCAAGAAATGCAGATGTGGTTTTATTTGCCCAGGTTTTTGAGAAATCTGTCTTTTATCTGTATAATAACACCGTAAAGGTGACTGGCATTTAGTTTGCGGTACTCACATAACTGACATTTTTTTAATAAAAAAATAGATTAAAAAAAATCAGCAAGCGCATCTTTTTTTCTACAACCAGTGTCCTCATTTCTTCCTGAAAACTTTCTTCATCGGGACTACTTCTTGAGTGTAAAGTAGTTCCAGATAATCTTTAGTAAGCAGAACATTGATTATGAACAAGTTGCTGTTTAATAGTTTTTTTAAGGAAACAAGAAGAAGTTAAGATAACAACAAAACAAAATCTCTATTGAAAATGCGTGCCTGCAGAGATTGTCAGGGTTTACTGAGCCTTCAAGTTTTATTTATTAACAGATACATTGAACTACAAAGGGAACAAAAGTAGAAAAATGTGATGCAGTTATGAACATCAACACAATTAATTGGAGTATAATATGCTTTACTGATTTTAGAATTCTACGATTATATACTCTCAATACACAGAAGGCATCTGTTATTGTGAAAGTGAATGGGAGTGGGTTAGCTGGGAGGTAAATATCATTTTCTTGCAATGTTTAGAGGTGCATCTGGTGCGAGCGAGGCTGATTGTTATGGTGGAAGGTGTCAGTGTGATTTATTTCAAGCTGCGTTGTCTGCCAGATG